TGCTGTCCTACTATTGGCAATCACTATTAGCTACATTCATTAATAGATGATTATTTGTAATCATTGTAACCTCTGCCAGACAAACTTCCTGCACTTATTTTGTATTTCTGAAGAAAAATAAAATGCTGTAACATGGGATCATCTACACTGTGCCCTTACAGTCATCATCTACATGCTTGTGTTAAAGTTTCCTATAATTGTTGACCACCAGGCTTACTGATGTCTTGCATATCTCTGTGCTTATGGCTCTCAGGTGTGTGTAAATTATTACAGGATAGTTCATCAGGAGAACTGATCTGTATTGGAATTGCTTTAAGAGAAGTACAGGCTTGGCTAACACTGTAAATCAAACTCTCTAGGCAAAAGTGTGCATCGATCATCTCAATTCATTACCTGTACAGCATAATACAAATGCTGTTCTATCCCACATGTTGGAAACTGATCTTTCAATTTGAAATAGTGCTCCATTTCAGAAAGAAATTGCGATACAGATATTTCTCCATTACACGTACAGAAAATGTGCTTGTGAAATGCTGCATCTGGATACTGTTGGCTATGGTACATTCAGTAGCAAGGAGTGTTATGAAACTGTATGATATAGTCATTCTGTTTGGTTTATCGTAGAATTATGGAATTACAGAATGGCTCGGGTGGGAAGAGACCTTAAGGCTCATCCAGTTCCAATTTCTTCCTAACCTCTAACCTAAATCTCTCCTCTTTTAGCTTAAAGCTGTTACACCCGTCATTACACACTGTGACAGAGTGTCTCTCCACAGCTTTCTTCTAAATCCCCTTCAAGTACTGGAAGGCCACAATGAGATCTCCCCACAGCCTTCTCTTCATTCTGAACAAACTCCTGCTGCTTCAGCCTATTATCTTAGAAGAGGTGCTCCAGCCCTCCGATTTTCTGGGCCTGCTCCAACAGCTCCACATCTTTCTTGTGCTGGGGGCCCCAGGTCTGCATGCAGTATTCCAAATGGGGCCTCATGACGGCAGAGTGGGACAACAACCTCCCTATTCCTGCTGGCCACCCCTCTTTTGATGCAGCCCAGGATGCAGTTGGCTTTCCAGGCTGCAAGTGCGTGCTGCTGGCTCATGTCCAGCTTTTTGTCCACCAGAACCCACAAGTCTTGTTCTCAGTGAGTTCTTACCAAAGAATCATAGAATCCCTATAATTGGAAGGAACATTAAGAATCATCTAGTACAACTCTTCTGCAGTGAACAGGGACATCTACAGCTAGGTCAGGTTGCTCAGAACCCAGTCCAACCTGGCTTTGAATGTCTCTAAAGATCCGACATCCATCACCTCTCTGGACAATCTGTTCTAGTGTTTCACTACTCTTGGTGTAAAAAATTTTTTTCCTTATATCCAATCTAAATCTCCCCTCTTTTAGTTTGAAACCATTTCCCATTGTCCTATCAGCACAGACCCTGCTAAAG